TGTGAGGGGTGATGTGTTATAGCGTGTAGGTGCGATATGTCCTCATGTAGTACAGCTTTTGTTGTCTAGTCTAATTAGCCTCTGATGTCTGTCCTTTGATGTGAGGGTTGAGGTGTTATAACATGCCGGTGCGATATCACACCAGATGCTAATTAGATTAGACAACAAAGGCGCTACTACATGGGGGCTTTTCCCACCTACGTGTGATAACCCCTCAATCAAAGGGTGGCGGGACTTAGCTCATGAGCATAATTGGGGGCGGGCCCACATGTCACTTTTTATGCATACTAATGTGATTGAAACAGGATCATTATTACTACTGTTGTGTTTCATATGGATGATGAGAGATGTATCCATAGATCTCTCCATGTTGCTCTCAAAGTGCAACAGGTTGATTAATTTAACCTCAATATTTAAAAAACAAATCTTCCCGGGGGAGCATGCCACCGGACCCCCCTAGAGGAGGTGAGGACCCCCCACACTTATAAAATATCACTTTACCTCTGCTTACACCTATATGCCATTGTATATGCTGTGAGCTGATTATCGAGCCTTCATTGTAAGAGTTGCGGGTATACTGTGTATGTGCGCATTCCACTGTAGCGCCCGGTACATTAATGGGAAATCCTAGTTTGTACATGTTCAATACATTTGTAACACTGACTGTACACATGAACGCTTCTTTTTTCGGTTCACCAAAAAAAAAATCTCACTCCAAGCTGAACTCAAATGTTGGCAGCCCTGAATTCAGATTGTGTATCTTCAGGGTCAGCAGCCTAAAGGATGGCAATTCAAATTCAATCACAATTTTCCATCTGCCTGCTTCCATACTACACATTTTTTGTACAAAAACTCACCATGTACTGTAAAAATCTAAATGTAATCGTTTTTAATGTATTATCCAAACATGGTCATGGTTCACAAGAGAATGTTTTGAAACACTTGAATGTGTTTCCAAGTTATTTCTGGCCATAACTGATGAGTGGGACACTTCCTGAAAACAGGCAGAAGGTAGCACGACTATAAAACCGCAGTGACTGCTTTTTTCCCTAGCAAGGTTTCCAAACGAGTAACGTGACTCAGAAGCTTGAAGTAGTCAGCTATTTGAAACTTCCTAGTGAATTGAGCTGGTGGAATTCTTTAAATGCTTACAGTATGAAACATGCTACAATGCTTCTTTCTGCTACCCTTTGATATTGGTATTTGACAAAGGAAAAGAGATAATGCCATTCCAGAATTCCTTGAAGAAGCAACATTTTACGTGACAGTTAAAGAAAACCTCGATAAGTGCTGCTGTATTTTTAAGTTACATTGCTGTCAACTATGTTTTTCTAAGTGGAAGCACTATAACATTTTGTAATCAATCAAATACATTTTTTTGTCAATATTGTGAGCCAAGTGGTTAGTTTATTTAGAATGTGGCCGTGTAATCTGCGTCGTGGTTACTGTTACTTATCTTCAGTGTGTTGTTGTACCTTTTTCATTTATGACAGCCTTGCTGCAAATGATCCTTTACTTAAAGTGGACCTATCATGCTATATTTGAATAATATATTGTAGGGCCTTCACATGTCTGTGAAGTTTTTTTTTCAAAATACCAAACAGATCATGCATTTTAGCCATGCCTCATTTCGCTCTTGATTTGGGTATGGAGGAAAAGAGAGAGCGTTGTGTTTTCTGACACTTGGTGAGTTCCCTGACACACCGGGAACACATATTCATGTATAAAAGACGTATAAAAGACGTACAAAAGTGCATTCTGCATGATAGGTCCCCTTTAATTGTATTGACATTACATTTTAGACAGGAATTCGTAATTACATTTCACAGCATAGAGCTTGACATTTGATATTTGACCGCAGCTCATGTCTTACACTGAATAACATTTATTTCATGTTGTTGTTTTTCTGTTGTGATTTGCTTATACTGTATGAAAAAAGTGCATCTGTTTAATGAAATAAGCCGATAAATGAAAAGTATTCAAACAAATATAACAACCAACCTTTCTTGGGGGTGATGGACTTAACTTCGCTCCAGTTGCCAACACCTCGACTGGTCACTGCTGCAACCTGGGAAACATCATCAAGCCAACCTTTAAACACTCATGTGCATGATGGTATCACTAAATGATTGAATGGGGAAAAATCTCTTTCTTTATTTCATAGAGGATGTGCATGTGTTTCTTACCCTGAAGCTGTACAGAGTGTCTGCCTGCAGCTCCTTCACCTCACTGTGGGTGCTGGTGCATCTCTGGGACATCCAATCAAGATCTCCACGCTCACTGGACTCAACCTGACACACACACACACACACACACACACACACACACACACACACACACACACACACACACACACACACACACACACACACACACACACACAAAAATGAATAAATACAATAAAATATAAAAACCTAGAAAATAAATAAATAAACAAAACAATAAAAACATGAGGCCCTAATCCTCTACTTTGTATATGAGACAAGCAGACGGAGAGATTTGCATGTACTGTATAAAGATGAATGAACACATGTTCCTCGAAACATTTCTGGTGGCGATACCAAATGGATACGTGAATCAGGTTATTGCACATGAATAAAGACTCACAATGTACTCTCTGATGAGGCCGTGTCCTTTGTCGGGGGCTTTCCAGGACACGTCCACTGTCCCGTCCTCACTGTTATCACAAGACAGCTGCAGGTGCCTGGGTGGGTCGGGCACTGCAACACACACACACACACAATTCAAAATGAATTGATGGGAGTATTAAAGGTCACCTATCATGCAATTTTTAGTCAATAGCATAGGACTCAGATATATACAAATATATAAAAAACATGTCTATGAAGTGTTTTTACAAAGGCTTTCTCACTTTTTTTTATTTCCTGCTTCTTCACACATGCTCTCTCCAGTACAGGTTAGCTCTGAGTGTTAGCGATGCTTGCTAATGTAAACAAAGAACATATTACGTCCAAAACACGTCAGGCTTTGATTCTGATAGTGACGTTTCTGATAGTGCCGTCATATCGGATGGCAAATCTGGATCAGCTCCATTGTACCCCCGTTTTTAGAGATTTGCGCACGGAGGAAAAGAGAGAGGGTTTTCTTTTCTGACGCTGCGTGAGTTCCCTGACTCACCGGGGACACATATTTATGTATAAAAGACATCAAAAAGTGAATTTTTCATGATAGGTCCCCTTTAATGTGCTTAATAAAGGAGGCACAACTAATAATTGAATGTGTCAGTGATGATAATAGTAAACACATTTTGAAATGCTTTCAGTGCTGGCTACAAGGTGCTGGTTTTAAAGTCTCTGCTACATCCGTAAAGCAAATAACTTTAATAATTAATATTAAAAATTAAAAAAGTCAGCTGAACATTTTGTAAACATGTTCTGTATCAAATCTGGTTTAGCTTATTGACAATTTGAATGGACATGTAGTTTTCTGATAATATCCAAAATTACTTCACAGCTTAGTTGGATACTCAATTCTGATTGGTCAATTAGGCCATTCATGTTATTAATTTTGCTAACAGACTGCTGCTAATGAGGATGCTCTGCTAAAGACACTGTGTGCAGTCAATTTGAAGTCAGCTGTTGACAGTAAACATTATTTTTCTCCATCAGAAAACACCATGAAGTACTTTTTGAATATTCATTTTTATATTTGTAAAGAGCACGGAACTTTGGATTCATGCTGGCTTACTATAACTGACTATAGTAAAGAAAAGAAAAAGACACTTTGTGTCGGGAACTTTATCAGCCTGTCTGTGTTATTTTTTCACTAATTACCGGCTTGCTGCAGTTTCCTTTACGGACACTGAATAGTAACCATACACTTTCAACATGACTTGATCAGTCAGGTTTAGTATAAATAAGCCTAAGACAGTTCCACGTTTCCTTCTGGATAATGAGAAGAAACATGGAAGCTTCTTGCAATGATCAGGTCACTGAACACCACAAACGATTGATAAGTTATTGAAGGATCACAAAGATCGATCAGCTTAAAACAAAGAACATTTTTGAATTCCGGTTGCTCATCCAGAATGCTAACAGTGTAGATGTGAGCAGATTAGGACTCCTACCACACTACACTTTCCTAGTAAGTCATTTAGCATTGAAGTTAATGAGTCATAATGACAGAATTGATACTCACAGCCCTCGGGGGTCCTGACCGTGATCACCTCGTTGGTCTTGTGCAGCCTGCTGAGGCACTGGGTGAGCACCTTGACATGGTAGGTGGTGTCTGGCTTCAATACGGCCAGTTTGTAGCTGGTTTTGTTGCTGTGGGTGTCCATGATGGTCCACTGCTGGGTGCCCACCAGCCTGGAGATGAAAACACAACATGAGGGGACGTAAAGGCATCAAGCGTAACCTCTAAATTCAAGCATGGATAGCCTCAGGCCTGGGGCCTCATTTATAAAAGGATATACGCTCAAAAAATTGCATACGGTAGTTTCTACGCAATGTTTGCGATTTATAAAATACTAACTTGTCAGGAAAACGTGCGGTCCTCCACGCAAACTCTAACCCATGCGTACGCACTCAGCATAAACACGGGAGAGACGAGAAACTGCGACACCGTTGGCAGAAGGAAGAATGGAGAGAAATATGTGGAAATAATACCATAAATAAAATGTTACCTCTCATTTATCATATATGAAGAATTCATTTTCAAACATTGATTAAAGCCAATCTTAAAATGATTTTAAAAACGCCTGTTTGAGACTCCTCAGTGCACACAAAAACATAAATTGGAGAAATAAATAAATACACAAATGTTATTTAAAATCACCTCGAATATGTTGTGTTAATGTTATGAAATGTTTTCTCATAAATTATGCGGTAAACAGAAGGACATAATTACGTCTAAACTGACGCCGTTTTGCATTTCTATAGGTTGTATAGATACAAGCATGGTTTTATATACTATCATGTTTAATCGTGTTTTATGCCGTTCGCCGCCTACTTGATAAGTCGCTCGTAAAACACAGGAGGTATGGAAACTAAGAACACCATATGTGAAAAAATTGTACAGCTGTTATAACACAACACCTTAGTTGTATTTCCTTTAACTGGTGGATATAGAGTTGCGGGGGGCGGGGGGTTGAGATGCACAGGCTGCAGTGGAGACGCTGCGCACAGCTGATCGACAGCTGGAACACAAACCACCAAATACAAAAACATAATTCAGACTCCGGAGTGGAGTCATGACGAATGGATCTGAATTATGTTTTTGTATTTGGTGGTTTGTGTTCCAGCTGTCGATCAGCTGTGCGCAGCGTCTCCACTGCAGCCTGTGCATCTCAACCCCCCGCCCCCNACAGATAGTACCATGGTATATTTTATAGTACCATGGTATTTGTTCCATAGCACATATAGTAATGTACCATGGTACATACCATGGTTTGTACCATGGTACAATCTGTCAAATATACCATGGTACTATGGTACAAGTACTATGGTAACATTTCTTGTGTGTGTGTGTGTGTGTGTGTGTGTGTGTGTGTGGGGGGGGGCCACATTGTGGGCTACACTAGATGCTTCTGGAAACCTACTGTACTGTAGATTATGCCGGTTGCCATGGTTACTCATACTAGGAGCACAGACTTAAACTGGAGCTAATATGTTAAGCGTAATGAACTGGGCCCTCGTTGTGTGAATTATGTTCTCATTACATCACAGCATCAAGTTACAAGTCATTATTCCGGCAAGATTTCTGTTCCAAGACAAACATAGAAAAATAAATAGATACACCACAATTAAAGTGAATAAAAGCATCACCCTTATGTCACATTTGGTATAGCACATGGTATAGGTGCATTACTTTGTTTTCGTCTGTTCTAAAACAGAGAAACCTGCTCTTAGCGGCCCTGTTTCTGTGTTAAGTGGCTAAATCAGCACACTTGCATCCCTGTTGTGATTCAAACCAGCTCTCCATAAATCAATTACATCTCGGCTGATAAGAGAGGCACCTGAAGCCCTAACAGCCGCCCATCAATCCAAACAGCGTGCATTCACATCCTTTCAAAGCCCCAGGACCTGGAACAAAGTGAGGAGGCCCATCAATCCCCATCAGGCCCAGGCTCAAGGATAAGTATTTAGACTCAAAGAGATGCTTCATTGATTTTGTTTTTTCTCGCTCTGTTTTCTCGGCTCTTTCCCTTACATTTCATCTTCACACAAACACATTAGCAGGGCATTTACAAGGAACAATGAAACAAATGAAGAGGTTTATGCCATCAACTGTCCACATAATCGCTCACAAAGCCTCATGGTTTTTTTTCTTATTTATAATATTGACTTCTGGCATATTATGAGACAATGACATTCAAAAAGCCCTACCACATAAGAGACAACCAGATTTGAAAGTGTGTTTTGCCTATGTGTTGTCATTAAGCATCTCTCTGTTGTTTTGTTTCTCTTTGTGGTTATTTTTTAGTCATTTTATCTATTGCTCTCATTTTGTCATTTTAAAGTTGTTTTTTATCCTTAGTCTCTGTTGTGATGCGGAAAAAAGGCAGATGGTATAAAAACATTTTTAAAGATGCCCATGGTATCATGCAGAGAACAAGAAGACCTCTCCGCCTGAAGGCATATTTCTCTACTAAATAAAATCCATCTGCCAATTCTGCAGGGGGGGAAATGCAAATTTCACAAAATGCAGGAGAAAGGCTTATAGAAATTAAGCTCCTCTGTAGAAGCTTAACTTTAAGGATTGAAAGGTGGTGTTTAGCAGCTATGCTTTGACAGGGACAGGAGAAAAGTACAGACAATGTGTGCACACACCTGTTGTCAGAGCAGTGAGTGAAACAGGTTGAGGAAGACACAAAGATATGTGGACAGTTGTGAACTTAATTACAAAGACTTTAATTAGTATAGTGATCCACTGGTTTCCTGTGACTAAAGCAGTTTAGGATTTAGGACACATAGTAAAACTTGATATAAATGATTACATTGTTGCTTTAAACAGAAGATCTTACTTGCTATTGCGCATTTAAAAAAGTCATGCCTTCGAAAAGTCACACCTTCAAAAGTACACTTATAACAAAAGTACATACATTAAAGCATCAAAAACATCTTTTATTTACCAAAAGTAAAAACGTATCGTATCCTATAATTTTGTTGGTGAATTATTATTATTATTGGTTGTGTTAATAATTAGAATCTGCAAAGAAACTTCAATTCAAATGTAATTAAAGGCAACTAAATGTACCTTTAAAATAGTACTTAAAGCTTCTGGAAAGCTGTCTTCAAATAGTACAAATGCAAACTTGATATACTGTAAAGGTTGAGTGTCTCATCAAGCATCTACAAAAGAGAAAAAACAAATGTTGATATCTTCACTTGAACTGAGCAGTGTTTGACTGAACTGTCTTTGTTACTTTCTAGGTTAGCATCTACTTTCCACTAATGTATGTACAACTACTAAAACATTTCTCTATTGTGTGCAAATACAAATTAAACAAAGTAAATCTTACATTCACATAGAAATGGCAATTCATTTTATTATACGGTTTGGCTACCTAAAATGGGGCGAAGCCTGCGAGCTAGTTCAGGCAGTCAACTCGAGCACTTATGCTGCATTCACACATAATGCCCCTTGCCACTCTACAACCAACCAAACAGAGTCTCCTTAATATGCCGCTCTATTTAACCTGCCAGATATCTCTCTATGCATTGCTTGCTGCTGCTATTGCTGCAGCTACTTCCACGTCGCTGCTGCTTTCTTGCCCCACCACCACCCCAGCTTCCACCTGTAGGCTCGGGGGGGCCTAGTTATTTAATCATCACTCATCGTGCTATGTATATCTGTGCAGTGATGAGGCCCGAGCCTAGACGCCAAACTCAACTATATGCTGCTTCTAATAAACATGTTAAAGAAACACGTGAGTTGTCTGACTAAAAGGGTTATTACGGGTAATTAAACTGTGTTACAGCTTGTTATGCTTCAGTGCCCTTGGTTGCTATCGATTTGATAGCGGTACAGATGTTTCCTATAGGAAAAGATTCCGAGCCTCAGTTTAATAACTCAGTTTGAAACCAGCTAGTAGTTTCTAAGAACTTGGGAAGGACTTTAAACACAAACAGTATACTGTATTTGAAAAATAGCTACTGTAACCCATTTCCCCCACATAAGCCTCGACTCCACCCATAAGGCCCCAGCAACAGGAAGCAGGACGCTCGCAGTTACAAGGAAAAGTCACTAAATTCCTTTCAATCTCATACAAATGCAGCAAGACTGGGATTACATCATTTTAAAATCTCTTTACATATTTACAAATCGTTCCATCTGCATGAAAGTCTCTGAGAACAAGAGAACAGGGAATTCATTTTATAAAGCAGACACTAAATAGCTACAGCAAATACTGGATGCCTGCAGAGCCCGCTGGTTTCCACAGTAACTAACACCAGAAATAGAAACCCACACCAGCGGCCATTCAAAATTGAATCCCCCTGTGATAATACACGAGTCTATTTATACCTTTTGATGGCGAGATACTGCCGTGTATAAATGCTACTGTCCAATTACTGTCAGAGGATGGAAATCATGGTCGAATGATGATGATCCTCACACCCCTTTGTGCTGCTGGTGCATACAAATGATGACACATGAATACTAAAGAAATTACACAGACACTCAGGAAGGATTAGTGTGTCAGATACCAACACTTCTTCACACCTCTGACAAATCTTCCCAAAATTCACAAATAGACATCTACAAAACTAAAAGTCTTTCTGGCGTAAATAAAAGGAGGCTGAATTCTTGCTGGACTGTTTGTTTGTTTCTGACAAAAAAAATGAAGATGTATAACTGACCTGCTTAATCTACATCAGTCCTTTTTTATGTATACGTTTATACTATTGTCTATATTAAAATGTAGGTACATTTGAAATGTGTGTGTATAGATTTCTATTAATTTGTTCTATTCTGTCAATACTCATACTTTGGCAATTCTGTATGCAATCTTTCTAACTTTCAAAGACAGTACCACTCTTGAAACAAAGTCCAATAATTAAAAAAGGATAAATCATCTTACTATTCACACGCAAACGGATTAATTAAGCTGTCGAAAATCTGTCATATATACATATTCAATATCAGGTTGATGACAGGTCACCAAGTATTGTGAGGAGGGTTTTTTATTGATTTTTTTAACTGAACTGCTGATCTGAATCTAAATATTTTTGCAACGGCTATCCGTCCTACAACATTTTGCAAAAAGTATGACTAAATCTATACAAATCTTGACTGATGGGTAGATGGATTGGATACTATTTATCCCCAGGGAAATTATATAGTGCTATCATTGTTTGTCAGTTGAAGAG